CTTGCTTGTGTGAAATCTTGCTGAAAATGTTTCTTGCTTCCTTGACAGTTTGCTATGTTGGCAGGGGTGGGGTGCCTGTTGGCTCTGCAGTGTTTCTTTACCAATCTACACATTATTTGCTGTCTTTTGCTACTGTAACAAAGACTTACAACCTAAGAAACCCAAAAGGGCAGTTCGATCCTGTCCAACAGGGTCCTCACGAGTCAGCACTGACTCCCTGGCAGTCCGTTTGTCAAGTTAGAGGAGATGAGACGCCTCTGCCACACCATTTACCAGGAAGCTGCACCACCACATCGAGTCATTGAAAACAAAGCACTGATTCGTGACCCTGTTAGAAAGGCCGGGGCACTGTGGAGGCAAGGTTATCACCTCAGTTTGGGTCCTTTTTTGGTCCCTTCTGGCCAAAAACCAAACAAACAATCTCACCTTATACCCTAGGTGCAAACCTTCAATACTACTTGTGGTGGCACCATTCATGATGCTTTTAGGATCTATAAACCTTGCCACAGAAACTTTGGGAAGAACAGAAGCCTGGCTGTAAGATCAGTGCTTAGATCATCTTCCTGACCCAGAAGCAGGTGGGATTCCAGCTACCCTCCCCATCAAGCAACAGGTTGCATTCTGCCCTTAGTAAGGATGCTCTGTAGTCATCAGCGTGCCCCCACCCCCGGCCCCAATTTATGGCAACCCCATCACAATAAAAGGAGAAGCTGCTCCGTCCTGTACTATACCCAGGACCGCCTGTGGACCAAACTCTTCTCATCTATAATCATTGACCAGTTTGGGTTTTGGAAGGAAATCTCTAGGCCTTTATTTTAGCCTGTCTGAGTCTGGAAGCTCTGCTGAACCCTGTCCAGCATTGCAGCAACACACAAGTCTCCCCTTTTAGAGGGGCGGTAGCTGCCCTGGTGGAGCAATGATGGGAACGGAACCCCACTCTCCTGCAGGGGAAGCAGGGATTCTACCAATGACCACTAGTGTGCCGACCTTTGAACCCTTCAACCACACCAAACCAGAAATCAAACCCGCTGCCATCAAGCCGTTTTCGACTCAGAGTGACCCTGAGACTGTAAATCTTTATGGGAGCACACAACGATCTTCCTCCTGCAGAACAGCCAACCTTGAGGTTTAGTTTAACCCAGTGCCTAAGCCACAGCGGCATCAGGGATTGCGTTCAGGACACCAACTGTTCAATATGTATCAGGTTCCTTGATTCTTACAAACTAAAATTTAAATAGAAGTTACCAATATTTTGCTATACAGCTAAGAAACAAAACTTGTTGCTAATTTCCATGGGGGGCAGGGGGAAGTCATACAATTATGTTGCTTTTGGGGGGAGTAACCTTACTGATTTGAAGTGCTACACAGAGAATCTGAGCGTTAAGAAGCGGAAAGCCAAAGGGGCAGTTCTACTCTGACTTAAAGGGTCTCTAAGAGCCAGAACGGACTCAGCTGCAGGGAATGAGGCAGGGGCAGGACCTTCTGTCATCCCATCAGCAGAACACCATTGAAGGTCAGCCGTGGAGCCGTGGTTCGTGGGATGTGAAAATGACCACAGGAGCTCCCAGGTGTAAGAAACCCAGGCAGCTTTGGAGGGCCTTTGCTCCAAGGGGATGCGACCAACAGACCCGGCAGTTACCTGGCTGGGCCCCTGGCACACGTACACCCACAGACAAGCTTCCTGACAGTGCCCCTCTCCCCCAAGAAGACCATACTGGCCCTGTGGGCAACAGACGGTCAGAACTGTAAAATCCACGGGCCGGGATTTTAAACACCCCCAGGCGTGGGGCTCCGGGTAACCGCTGACACGCCGTGCACGCGGGGAGCACGGTTTCCTGGGTCCGTGATCCCTCCCTCCACCCGGCTGGGACGCTGGGTCTGGCACCAGTGACTACAGGTCCAGGAGCGTCGATTGTAGTCGACAAGATACCTGTTCGGAACGCAAAGGAGCCCCGACTGGAATCTCGGGAGCCCCGGCGAGGTGAAGGCGGCGGCGTGGAGCGATCCCCGGCGGGCAGGGCCCTGTGCGGAAAGCCGGGGCGCGGCTGTCCAGTCGGCTGGAGCCCCAGTGCGGCCCGGCGAGGAAGGCCTAACGGGGTGCCCGGCAGGTAGGCCTTGCTTCGGCTCCCGGCCCGGGCAGGCTGACCCGGGGCCGACCTCTCGGCACCCAGCGCCCTGCAGCGGACTCAAGTGGCGCCTCTTCCGCCGCTCCGGGCGGCCTCACGCCTCGGAGCCGCAGCGGCGGTGCCAGCCTCGGAGCAGCCCGGGCCGCCTCCGTCCATCGCCCGGGCCGCGGCCGCCGCTCTCATGACAACCAAGCCGGGCCGGGCAGAAGGGTGCCTCTGTGCGCGCGCAGGGCTGTGACCGGGCCTTGGCCCCAACTGCGCCTGCGTGTAGGATGAGCTCCCGCCCCCGCGTCCCTGGCCTTCTGGGTAATGTAGTTTCTGGGCGAACGCTCGGCCTCTGCTGGCGTCCCGGGTCCCCTGTGTCTGTGAGTTCTGACCCCGCGTCTGGGCGACGGACTGGACTGAGTGACCCCGTGACACCTGGAGGATGTTTGCAATGTTCCAGAAACCCAAGATCTTCAAGCTTCGGGCCCTGCACAGCGAGAAGAAGTTCGGGTTGGCAGGCAGGAGCTGCAAGGAAGTGCTGCGGAAGGGCTGCCGCCTGTTCAAGGTCCTCTACCAGCCCGCCCCGCGGCCGCCTAGGTCCCGGGCAGACGGGCGCCGGGTTGTCCCCACGGCGCCAAGAGGCTGGGCTGGCTCCCGCCCGACCCGTGGCCCCTGCCCGCTGGGGAGCCTGTGGCCCCTCCTGCAAGGGAGAGGGCGTGCCTGAGCTTGCGGGTCGGGTAGGAAGTGGGGTGTGGGGGTGGCTGGGGACCGTTTCCTGAGTGAGCTGAGGCTCGTAGAGGGGTAGGGTTTTTATGGACCCTGGGTTTATGGGCATGGGGCTTCCTTAGTGAGACATTGCTTTTTCTGGAAAGGGTGGAGCCTCCAGTGGGTAGATTTCTTCCCACTGCTATAGTCCTTACTAATGGTGACATTACTTGCATATTTCCCCCGCCCCCCCAGGCCTCACCCTAACCTCAGATGTGTTCAATGACCATATTGTGTCGGTTCGTCCTTACAAGGACTCCACGAGGACGGCATTACCGTACCTTAAAGAAATGTTGCCACCAGAAAGGACTAGGACTCCAGGCGCCCCCGTGTGTGTTGGAGTTAAACTGCGATCTGGATCTCAATGGCTGCTTTTCAGTCCCCTAGCCAGGCCGGTATTGCGAGGGGCCTCTGGTTGGACTTGGACTTCCCACCTTAATGTTACCCATGGAGCCTGTGAACAAACATGCACCTCCCACTCACATCAGGCAGGTGCAGGTGGAGAACAGTGTCCACCAGCTGTGCCCCTATTTTGCTCCAGACATTCTACCAACTGGTCCCCCAAATACCCTGTGAATGGGGCGTTAACAACTCATCTACAGATGAGGAAGCTGAGGCCCAAGAGATCAAGTAACTTGCTTATTAAAATAAACAAAACCAAGCTTCCTCAGCCATTGGTCTGTTCTGACTGACAGCGACCCTAAAGGACAAAGCAGACTGTCTCTGGGGGTTTCCCAGGTTGTAACTTTTTAGGAGAGTAGAAAACAGTGCAGCTGGTGATTTCCAGGGACTGCCTTTGTGGTTAACAGCCCAATGTATAGCTGCATAGCAATGGGGGCTGCCTTGAAACCCAGGATTATCTAGCTCTAAAGGAGGCCCTGAGTGGCACACAGGGCTAAGCCCTTGACTTCTAGCCGAAAGGTTGGCAGTTCAAACCCATCCAGTGGGGTCTTGGCAAACAGGGCTGAGGATCTGCTGCTGAAAGCTCCCAGTCTTGAAAACCCCATGCTGTTCTGCTCTGTACACGTGTGGCTGCCTGGAGTTGGAACTGATTCCATGACCCTTACTAACGACGACAGTATAAACCCGCACACCTTGGAGATGCTGCAGGCTTCCTTCCGGGTCACTGCAGCAAGGTGAATGCTGCGATAAAGCGTGCTTTCCTCTGGTTTCCCAGTGCATTCATGATATATATATATAATATAAATTATATGGTATTTATTATATATTTACCATACTATCTATAATATCAAGATTATATCTAAATATATATAATGAGAAATATACTCATATATTTTATATATATGTAAAATATAATATATGTTACACATTGGGCTGCGAGCCACACGGTCAGCAGTGAGAAACTACCAGCCACTCTGCTGGAGAAAGAGGAGGCTTTCTGCTCCCATAAGACTTAGAGCCTCAGAAAAGAAAAGAAAAAAAGATTACAGCTTCAGAAACCCACAGGCGCGGTTCTTTACTGTCCTATGGGGTCGATATGAGTTGGAAGCGTTTCTCAGTGAGTTTTTACTGAGTAGGGTTTTAGGTGTGTATAATACAGGATGAAATACCATGACACAGAGACACCACATGAGCACTTGCTGATGGACTTCCTGGACACAGCATTGCCACCACCTTCAATTTGTTAAAACAGAACAACAAACTGCAACATCTCCTAAGTGCAATAAAAGGAGGCAGGCCTGTACTTCTGCAGCCTGGTTCAGGATTTCAGTGGAGGCTATGAGGGGATTAGGGCTGTAGCAACCTGGTTCTAGTGTGAGAAGCCCTCCTTGGCCTTCTAGTGCAGCGCTGACCACACACAGAAGCTCAAGATAGACTTGTTTAAAGGCTGTCTTTGTGCAGAGGGTTCTGACAGGCCCTCGAAGCCTCTTCCTCAGCTCAGGTGCTGACCAGAAATTGAGGCGAGAACAGAGGGGCTGCTCCTCTTGCCCAGCACAGAGGGTGAGAGGAAATGGCTGAGGTGGGGAGAAGCTCCTGGGACCCTGGGCCTCAGACTGTTTTCAGTGGCTGCATTTCTAGAAGTTGATCTCCAGGCCTGCCTTCAGAGGTGCCTCTCGGTGGACTAGAACCCTTTAAGGCACCCTTAGCCTGGGGCTGACAGTTGCATGCTTGGGATCTGCTCCCACATCTGCTCCCAACTCTGTGTCCGGGGTTAAGGGGCCTCTTTCCTGTTCTGGGTCTCAGTTACTTCCCTGAAAGTTGAAGGGGTTGGACTAAAATGGCAGCCAGAGTTGTTCCCCACCCCAACCCCCCCCAACCCCCACCCCGCACTAAAGTTTCGTCTGTGGGCTTGCACACATGTACAGTATGGGGCCGAGGCCCATAGTGGAAGGGGATTGTAGTAACCATACCTAAAATTGATCAGTGTTGACCAAGCTTGGGGAATTCACACAATGGTGCACTGGTTGCACTCCCGTTGACAGAGGCATTCTCCTTCATTAGAGAGTGTTGATGAGAAAATGATAGGAGCCCTGGTGGTGCCGTGGGTTAAGTGCCGGCCATCTAACTAGAACGTTGGCAGTTCAAACACACCAGCTGCTCTGAGGGAGAAGGATGAGGTTCTCTGCTCCTGTAGAGATGTACAGCCTTGGAAACCCCAGGGAGCAGTTCTCTTCTGCCTAATAGTCTCTGTGAGTCAGAACTGGCAGTGGGAGAGGTGGGAAAGGGGGAGTCCCTGCACTCAGCTGCCAATGGGAAGGTTGAAGGTTCAGGTCCTCCCAGAGGCACTCAGAAGAAAGGCCTGGCGATTTGCCTCTGAAAGCTCAGCATGGGCAATCCTATGGGGCAGTTTTACTGTGACGCTCCTGGGGCCACCGTGAGATCTCAGGCTCTGATGTGACCCTTTGCCTCGGACTGCTGATGGGGAAATGAAAACTGCAAGTGATGCACCCTGCAGCTCCTTCAGGACAAGGGCGGTCCTCATCGTGGGCTGGGTGGCTTCTTTCCGGCATCGTGGAAGCAGAGAGGTCATTTTCTGAAGCGCTGGTCTAAGCACCCTCAAGTTGCTCATAAGGGTCTTTGGATGAATCCTGGGAAGCGAGCGGTCACCACTTGCTGTATACATTTTTATGTGACATTCTGTATTCTCAGGTGACTCACAGCACAGGGTGCCCATTTGGATAGACTGAGGTTTAGACACTCAGTGTTTGCTCCAGGTTTCGTGCCAAGCTTGATTCTGGAAAGCATTGGTGGGGTCCTGTGTTCTGGGAGGGGTGCGATGGCAGATGACAGGCCTCAACCTGCCCTTCCTCCTCCCCGCAGCTCCCCGAGGCTGGCTGCCGCCTGTGTCTGTACGAGGATGGGACTGAGCTGACTGGCGACTACTTCCCCAGCGTCCCGGACAACTCCGAGCTGGTGCTGCTCACCGCCGGCCAGTCCTGGCAGGGCTGTAAGTGGGGAGACCTTGGAGGTGGGTGGGGAGACATGTGGCCCTGGGGGTCTGACACCGGGGCAGGGGTCCTCTTTGCTCTAAAGCCTACAGTGTAGGAGGAAGTCCTCTGAGACCATAATGGACAATGCCACTTAGCTGGCTCGGCTCTCTGTCTCTGCCCAGGAACTCACTCACTTATTTATTTTTTAAAGATACTTTGTGCTTGCCCTGTCATTGTGCGTCATCCATGACTACTCATAGGGACCCTGTAGGACAGAGTAGAAGGTCCCCATCCAGTTTCCAGGGCTGTCAGTCTTGATGGAGGCAGACGGCCTGGATCATCTTCTTGGATGGTGTGCACAGAGAGGCTGTCCTCCCAGTGTGGGTGGAGCAGCTGCTTCATCAAGAGATTTGCTCGAGTGGCAGTTCTCTAGGAGGAAGCTCTGGAGGCACAGTGGATTGAGTGCTCAGCTGTTAAGCAATACGTTGATGGTTAGAACCCCCCGGCTGCTCAGACGAAGAAGGAAGATGTGGCTGCCGGCTTTTGTGAACATTTGTAGAGTTGAAAGCCCCATAGGGGGCAGTTGCACTCTGCTGTGGTGAATTGGAATGGACTCTAAACAATGGAGTCATCTCTCTAATTTTTATGTTCTGTCTAAGCCCCAGGGCACAAGTCTTGTTCTCTAGAACCGGCTGGATGACAAGGCCTGTGCTGGAACTGTGGGCCAGGGACAAGGTTCCTAGGTGGGTCACTTGTTCTT